CACACACACACAGACACACAGACACACACACACACACACACACAGCAATTAAAGAATTATAAATAACATAAAAAATAACCCCAACATCAGTGTGACATTTTGCCTCACCTTTTTTAATTAAAAATGTGCATCAGTCAGTGTCTGATATGAGTGTATGAAGCATAAAAACACCTCAAAAGCAAGTCTCAATTATATGACATAGTTTCAGAGTACAGAAATGAAAGAAAAACAAATGAAATAAATTTGTAAATAAAACACACACAAACAATGAAAACATTTGGTTGCACTTGCTTTAAAAACATGCAAATATCAATGCAATGCACCGGCAGAATGCAGTGACTACAGCAACACTGGAGCTGAGGCCGTTTCTGCAGTTTTCTCTGATCCGAAGCCGTCTGTCAGATACGAGTCTCAGAGATCTGTACTGCGTTTTACCTTCGCTCCACAGATTTGCATAAACTTGGTGTCGTTCTCCAATATTTGGCAATATACATAAAACAGACAAGAATGCTAAAGAAATGAAAATACTAGAAATTCAGTAGTTTTGACACATGATGTGTATGCACAACAAACTTACTCTGATATAAATGTGAAATTACTGCAAAACTTGTACACGTGGACATTAGCATGCATATGAAAAGCAGAGAGCAGTGACGCAAACGAACCATGTTTTGGCTTCACATTCATACATGAAGTAGCTTTAAAGTGTTTATAAGAATCTTTGATTGAAACACATCAGTTGCATTAGACCTGCTTGCATAGGAAAGATAAAACCTGTGAGAATAACACGCAAAACACTGTACGAATGACATTAACACTGATACCCTGAAGACAAACTAATATAGAGGCACTTTCAACTTTACAATTTCATCTCATTATAAAAGAGCATCTGAAAACAATATGTGACCCTGCAGCACAAAAGCAGTCTTAAGTCACTGGGGTATATTTGTAGCAATAGCCAACAATACATTGTATGGGTCAGAATTATACATTTTTCTTTTATGCCAAAAATCATTAGGATATTAAGTAAAGATCATGTTCCATGAAGATATTTAGTAAATCTCCTACCGTAAATATATCAAAACTTAATTTTTGATCAGTAATATGCATTGCTAAGAACTTCATTTGAACAACTTTAAAGATGATTTTCTCAATATTTAGATTTTGTTGCACCCTCAGATTCCAGATTTTCAAATAGTTGTATCTCGGCCAAATATTGTCCTATCCTAACAAACCATACATCAATGGAAAGATTATTTATTCAGCTTTCAGAAGATGTATA